TGATGACAGAAAAGGCAACCTCAAACACCAGCTAGGACCGTTGGCCGTTGGCACCAGCTAGGGCCGTTGGCTCCATTCAGCCGTACCGAAGGGAGAAGGTGTCTGATCTCATCGGCTGAGCGGCTCGGCCGCCTCTGCTCCGACCAAGGCGACTGGCCGTGGGCGCCGTGGGCCGTCACTTTTTCCCCGGAAAGCAAATTGAAGCAACAACCGTCCAAGTTGAGAGTGTTCTCGAAGTCCCACAGTTCCAAGGTGAACAAACTGCCCAGCTCCCATGCTCGAAGAACACACTTGTAAGTCGGATGTACTGAGTAAAGTAGCCAGCCTCAAGCTTGATCTGCGGCAAGTCGATATCATCCTGGAGAAATGGCACTCACCAAATTGCAAGCTGGCTGCAGGTAAACATGCCATGCCCTTGAGGTGAACCTCAGTTTATTTCAAGATGCCCACCTGCCCTTGGAGAAGCTTGTGGCGCTGTTTTCTGGCAATGTCCTGAGCGATGCTGAAAGTACACCCTGAAGTGCAACTTAAAGCAGGCTTAAACATGTCTAAAACAATGCTCTTATGCAGGGGTTGTATTGGATTATTTCCTTGCAGCAAAGCTCACGTTGCTCCGAACTTTCCTGTGAGACTTGATGCTTTTCAGCGCTTTCAACTCTAGCAGTTTCACAATCATAGCCCAGCAAGGTGGACAATGAGCGAAATCTACGGGTGGGCTCCAAGAATCAAAGGGAACGTAGCGACCGGTCGCTCGATCGATCCGAAATCTGGTGCCACCGCCGATGAGACCATGACCTGCCCATCTCTCCGCGTGACCTTTGGTGCATCGCATAGATGCTGAATTGAATTTGGCTTACACTCCCTGACATAATCACGGAAGTTGAACGTAGACCTTTGGAAGACCAATTGTACTCTACAAGGGGGTCCTGTTCAGCTTCCATGATTGTTTGAAGGAGGGTATTTTTTCACCCGAACAAGGAAACGAGGCGCTTTGAAGTAAACGTGCCGGTCACAAGCAGTGATTTTAGAGCTGAGTCGTCCGGTTCAAAGGGTAGACTCCCGAGTCAAGTCGGCTGACCCAGATATGTTTCTGGAAAAAAATGGCTGTCGCCGAGATTGTAAGCTGCACGAGCTACGAGCTGGTTGTGGGTTGAAATCCCATGCCCTTGAGGTGAACCTCAGTTTATTTCAAGATGTGCACCTGCAACACCTGAAAAGTACATTCTGAAGTCCAATCAAAACAGGCTTAAATAGCTCTACAATATCGCTCTTATGAAGAAGCTGTATTTATTTTTAATCTATTGCCTTGTGAAGGCCAAAGCTTACTTTGCTGATCTTTGCTCTCCTTTCCTGTGTGAGAAGTTTCTTGCTGCGTCAAAGTATAATTCAAACCTTGGAGCTGGATTCAAGATCAACATCTCCAGGGGTCTGGTCAAACTTCTCGTGGTCACACTCAGCAGCTCTCCGGAGACTCCCATGACTAACCTCCCACATGTTGAAAGCATACGTCCAGGAGTGTGCCACGGTCCGTCGTCGTTCCGGGTTCCTACTCTGCTTTAAGAGAAGAGCAGGGGATGTGTGTTGACAGGTAGCTACAGGAGGTATAGCTGGTATAGGTCAGCAGGGTGTGTCTATACTGATTCTTCAGTCGAATTGACGCTAGGTGCGCCTGGTGAGATACAGAAAATGCATGAGGAAGAAGGTTCGGGGGAGCCTCTCTCAATGATGAAGAATCTTTTTTTAGAGAGAAGTGATTCACTGCAATTTGCCGGCTTCCCATTACAATCCATCTTTAATACATGTTTGCTAAAGCAAGGAGAACTTAGGTAGATGAAGCTACCTTTCGTGACAAGAAGTCATCAGTCAGTGCTTTTTCCGTCTGGGAACCGCCACTAGTTGGCATTTCAATAGCCTATCTATATATCCAGCTGGCATTCAACCCCAAGTCTTCTGCAGAATGGCTGGACGACAGTCTCGTCCCCGTGGAGTCCAGTCGTCCTTGTAGAGTTGCGAAGATGCAAACAAGCTGCCACCATGCAAAACGGAAGCTTTCAGGCTACTTGGGTGCCATTCACTCAAAGAGAATGAAAGCGATGGGATGGGATTCAATCTCTACTACAAGAGATGGTTGGATCCCATGTTATCCATCAGCGTATCATGGATGACACACTACTTCATGCGGCTCTGGAAATGCCCGGCCCTTACTCGACTCCGAGTCGAAATTTACTCCGCAAAGCCAAGAATTCGCCGCAGGAGCGATGAGACCAGCGGAAGGCCGAGGTGAGCCATGGAAGTAGAAGGCATTGAAAACAATTGAAAACGGCTGAGGCAGGTAGGTAGCAAAGTCTAGGTAGGTGGGATTCTCTCATGGATTCTAGTCTGCATGTCTGTCTGGGAAACAATACCTTTGTAAGGCCAATTGTGCCTTGCAGTTGTCTTAAATCAACTTTGATCCACTCATCAATGATCAAATTCATCTCCGGGAATTGACCAGTGATTACTGTCCCCCAAGGGTCACAGTTGTGTTTAACAAAGTAAAACTGATTGATGACTGATGTGACCGTCAGCCCTGAGTTGCAAGCCGAAAGATGAATGGAATCAAAGTCATCAAGCATCCACCAGTGAAAAAAGGACATAAATATGACTGGCTGCAGCTGTTCACCAGACTCACTCTAATCTTTTGCTTCAACATCTTCAGACGTAAAGAACTGGGATGACAAACATATGACGAACACTCTGTCTTGACTGTCTTAATGGTTCTCACTGGAAAAAGAAGGAATGGAGTCCATCTTTGCTTGCCAATCTTCAAATTCAGGATTCTTCTACCAAAGCTTCTGCAAACTCCTGTGTACAGGCCCATTACGACTTGCTGCATTTCCTAAGGAATATAGAATCAGCAAAGCAGGGGTGTCCTGCTTTTAATGCACTCTGTCCCAAGTTTGGGGAATCACCGGAATAACATACCTTTATACACTACACTTTAGGACAAGGACCTCAGCTTCTTTATTTGATTTTTCGGTCAGGATGTATGTGCCCTGTAGGAACTGTTTCTAAATTATTGGAATCACTAGAGAAACTATATTTAAATAGGAACTAATCATATCAGATTCCATGTTTTGTTTGCTCCCAAACTACACTTCTTAACTTGGACGCGAATAATAACAATCCCTTTGGCCATCTAAACTCATATCGAAAATAAACCCTCAAACATCATCAAACACAAACCATACAACGCACACACACAACCCATCAAGCACCTGTACCCAGCGTCACCCGCCACTCCGGTGTTCCAAACCGCCACCATCCGCCCCACCCCTCTCCGCTGATTTCTTCGAGTCTTCAGCGGTCGTTAGCCAGTCTTAGCCGGGTCGTCTACGCCGGGTCGACAGGTTCAGGTGACCTGAATGCACTGACCCCGCCATGCAAATTCTGACGCAAGACGCGACGCGAGCCCAACGGTGACAGCGCGAAGGATGATCGAAATTGTGGTTGCATTTCACTGGCACACAACCGCAACCAAGTAGCCAAACAGCCCAATTAGTGGATGTTTGCCTCTCACTTCCTTTGGAGATCGAAGGAGATGCCAAAGGTTGCGATTTCACTTCCAACTGGAGCTCAGGCTCAGGTCCAATTTAGCCACAGTACAAAAGAGAAGAATCACCAATCAGTCATTTAGTTGTCTTCGTGCATTCAAAACCAATTAGTGGATCTGCCTGTCATGTTCAACAGGCCACCAAGTCTGGTTGGTTGGTTGGTTGGTTGGCTGGTTGGCTGGTTGGTGGGTTGGTGGGTTGGTGGGTTGGTGGGTTGGTGGGTTGGTGGGTTGGTGGGTTGGTTGGTTGGTTGGTTGGTTGATTGATTGGTTGATTGCTTGATTGCTTGATTGCTTGATTGCTTGATTGCTTGGTTGCTTGGTTGCTTGGTTGCTTGGTTGCTTGGATTTGAAGCTTAGCCAGTGTGAATTCCTCAAGGACGTTGAACATGAGACACACACGTCACCCAGCACATGTATGGCCACGTCCCCCATGTGTGTGCCCTTGTACAACCGTCTGTCCAACGAACTCTTCGAACAAGCTAATCTAAAGCAGAGAGCACCTATGTTGTGTTGTGAAAAAGGACAATAGTTCCCGGTTGTTCAACAATGTGCCGGGATTGACAACGTTTTAAACACAGCGGAACACAACAGGAACATCTCAGGATCATTGTATTGAGATATATGTCAAAGAATTGGCTGTGCCTCGTCTGTCAACCTGGCTCTTTCCGCCTTCCGAGAAAAACTCCAGGCAAGTCGTTGGTAAAACATGGTAAAACATGCGGAACGAAGGATGCCAGTGGGTCGAAGTACCGACGCCTACGAGGTCACTCGCCCAGAGCTACGTAAGCCTGCGGACTCTCCACATGCAAATGTTGCATCCGAGAAGTCAACGCCTTGCAGTCTTTTTGCAATCCGAGACGAGCTCAATCTAACCTGCGTAGCCTTCAGAAAAGTTGGGAACTGCTAGATCATCTAACTGCTAATCTACTGATATAGACAGTAACTATATTGCTTCGGTCAAAGCATCGCCACTTCAGCAGTCCACTCGATCTGGGAATTGCTTCGGAGTGTTCATATATAAAGAATATATCTGACGTTGAGCCGCAAAACGGGGCACAAACTTGATGGCTTCTGTCTCTGCCTCTGTATGACCGTACGACCACCAATAGAACGAACAAGAAGGGACCTCAAGCGATGGCCGCTATAGAAGGACCTCAACAACAAGGGATGCAATGTTGGGCATGGTACACCTTTTTCCAAGCCCGGAACGCTCGGGCTGAGAACTCTCCTCGGACTGCTCGGAACGCTCCTATCTCTACATCTGGGAGAAGTAGAGTCTTCCATCCTTGACATCTCACAGTCTCACGTGGTTTGGGTCAACGCTTTCACTGAGACGAGCATCTACAAACCCAACTAATGAGTCTTCAATACCAAAAGCTCACCAGAAGTCACGCTTCGCAGTCTTCTGCACAAATCCTGCACGTGGATGCTCAAGGATGGTCACACTCCAATGCCCAGCTTAACCCTGCACTGCGATCTCAAACCGCCAAGTCCTCGGCGCCCAAACCCAAAACCAACCGGGCCGCCCAGGTGTGCCGATGCCACAGGTGTCTGCCCGGTTCTGCTTTCTGCCACCTCCACAGTTCATCGAGTTCGGCGGTCTAAGGTTGGCACATCACATCGCCACCTGCGATGGGAACGGCCGCGAAGGTCGGCAGACAAACATGGTCGGTTGCTCCAGGGCAAAGAGTAAAGCTTCAAACATGAAAAGAAAGGGAACACATTGGTCTAATTCAGGTCAGCTCAGGTCAAAAAATCCCCATTTTAGCACCAAAACACCCTGGTTTTATAGCTCGTTCTTTAAGTCCTTCGAGCCGAAGTCACGGACGTTGCTTTGGGATGTGAGACGTCACCAGAACATCCGGGAACTGGTGGGACGAAGCGTGACCGGCATTCGAGAGGAACCTAGGTTGAGCGGTTTAAGAGTGGTTGTGACTGTCCATCTACATTCGAGGATTCCCTCTAACAACCAGGACCTAGCACGGCGACAGCACGGCATGTCTCAACTCAAAGCATCGCACAATACGACTCAACTCGTCGCCAGGCCATACTGCGCCCTCTTTCGAAAGTGCCAAGAGAAGAACTCCACTCTTTAGACAGTCGTCCTGGTTGCCCAGGTGTGACGTCCGACGGCCCGACGGCCTGAAGCAAGTAGAGTGGCAACGCCTGAAAGTCTTTGAACACGCAAAAGACACGCGGCCTGGTCGTTCGACGCCGATCCACTGGGGTGGGGAGTGAACCAAACCAGGACCAGTATACCTGGACAATCAAGGGGTGTCCAATGGAGGTCCCTTAGTAGTGTAGGGGCTTCCATTGGTGACCCCTTTGAGGGTGCTGGTATAGTCTTAAAGAAACAGAAAGACCTTCTGAAGAACCACAACTAGAAGGACAACGTGAAACGTGTTGTCCTTGACGTTCGGCAAGCCGTTTCGTGGAAAGCTTGAGTTTAGGTTTGGCCCATGAACGATGTTTAAGAGTTTAGGCTTAAGTATTCCTGTCGCCTATTTACTCAACAAAAGAATCGAGTCTGACGAGGCTCAAAGTGCGCAAAAATGTTTAGGCGGTGTTTGCCGAGCTGACGACAGAACACCCACAGCTTGGAAAACAGAACATCCACAGCTCGGATTGCTCAAGGTGGTCGGAGGAGAGAAGAAACCAGTGCATCTCCCTTCTTCTCTGACTCTCAAGGGCGTCGGATTCAATGGCGCTGTAAATGACGTCCACGACATTCCCCCAAGTCAACACAGTGCCTAACAGCAGGGCTTTCAAACGAGAACTTAAATGTCTATTTTACATATATATTTTTTATAAATTAATTTAATGTCAATCAGTCCAACAGCTGGGAATTGACTTTTAAACGACCGATCCGACTTCCTCTGACCCCTAGAGGTTCGACCGGATCCCGGATCCCGCTTCTCCTCGACGCGTCGTCGCAGGTGGAATCGAAGCGGAGGCCCGGCATCGCCGGCATGGCCGGAGCTTCCAGCAAGCCCTCCTCGTCCGACCCGAAGGAGCCGAAGTGGAAGGGGCGCGCCCACAGGGCGTGAATCACAGAAGAGGACCTGTCTGGGACTGGAATATTGGCAGTACCTACATTGACCCCAGGTCAACCACCCCAATGTATGAAAATATGGCACACATGGAGTGTCTGCAGTATTGTTTAAACTTTCTCCGTGCCTCCATCTATCACTACCACAAAGATCCTGTCTCTCTTGGCCTCGGCATGAAAACCAACAGATTGGGAATTATCACACATGGCGATGAACAGCTCTGAAGTTCCAAAGGCCACACCACGAAAAAAAGGTAACAAACCCGCCAAACCACCCAAAAGCACACGCCAGTTGCACTGGACCTGTCCAAAGATCTGCAGCTTTACAAGGGCTGCGGCTTTCGGACCCAGTGATGAACACATCCTCTGGGGTCTGCATGTCCTCCCTAGTTCCAAGCGAGCTGCCGTTCGGCTAGGAGACTTGATCGGTAGTTCATTCACAAGTTCGAAGACCTTGTTTCTATAATAACCCCCCCCATGGATTGAACCACCTGTGAAATCTCGGAGATTTTTCTTAATCAAGAGTCAATATCTAATTGATCATGACTTCAGCTGCATGGTCGGACTCAAAACAAGAGCATCCACCGGGTCCCTCTTCTCAGCACGGTGGTAGACACCCACCTCTCCACAGAAGACAGCGGTGCCACGTGTCGTCTCCCCCACCTTGCCGCGCGTGAATCTTCCGGGCCTCGAGGGGCGGACGGCCGGGGCTTCAGTCGACACGAGGGCAGCCCGAGGCCCGCTGAGGCGTAGGATCCATGGAACTGGTATCGAGTGACGACCCTTCCAGGGTCAATGGGGGGTTTTAGATGGGTCCCATGGATGGTCGAGAGGTAACCATTCCAGTATATGGAATGGATGGGTTTGGGTATCGATGGAATGGATGTTGTCTTGTATAACCTACTATAAATATCTATATACCTGGACCCTCCAAGGGGTGTCCAATGGACTAGCCCACACTACCTAAAGGCTTTCCATTGGGTGCTGATATACGGTAATGCATGCATGCTGGTTGTTGTTCTCAGATCTGGAACACCTGCCCGCTCTATCCTTCGCGACTTGACTTGCGTCAAACACACAAAACAACTCGTCTGCATGTCCTGGCTGTCAATAGAGAACGGGGAAACCCAGTTTGGACATGGATGTGACATCTCTTTGCTGACAGGAGTCGTCTCGAGTCATCTGCCATCATCCAGCATGATGTTTTGTCCAATGATAGCATGCACTTGGCTCAGATTCTGTTCAAAACGTTCTTCCCAAGCCCAGTGGACAAAATCAAAAACCACCTCAAAAAGGAGTACCCCACACACAGCCTACACACCAGCCATCCTTTTGTTGGGGAGGTATTGCAGCCAGCCTTTCCCACCGTTTGAAACTGGGGAAGGTGCTTTCTATAGGTCCTAGGGATGAAACTTCACAAGAAGACAGTGACCGACTGTGACTGAGTAATGTCCTAATTATCTTGATCATCTGGTCGCAAGTCCGATGAATGGCTTGACAACGCATTGCAAAAGTAATTGCCATGCTGAACTCTAGCCTATTTGTAGCCTATTTGTAGACTAGAAGTGCTCAAAACTATCCTTAACCCATCCGTCTACACGGCTACACTCACCAGCTGTCACACTCACCCCCTGCACTCACCTCAACCAGCACAAACTCAGCACCCCAACTCCTCACTGAGCAGCCCGGCAGAACCCCTGCGAGCAAGACTGCGCGGGTCTGACACTTCCCGGCGAAGCGTAAGGCATAGCCCTGCGGGGCACCGTCTGCAGTATCGTCTGGGAGAGTTCGAAGTGAGAGCTCTGGGTCTCCAGGTGGAGTACTTCAGTGATCAAACGATGAACTGTAGACGATTGGTGTCAGCGATTCAGTGGATGTGTCAGCCCAAAAAGGCCCACCGCGGGAGCTCACGCGGGCGCGCGCTGGCGCGGCGCGCGGGGGCGCGTTGCTGCGCGCCGGATCGTCCGCGAAGTAGACGCCGCGGCCCAGCTTGGAGCCGTGCCTCCGCCGGATCTTCGGTTTCATGGCGAAGAAGTCAAAAAAAAGAGTTCAACCAACCACAAAATCAGAAGTGACCTGGTGTGAAAGACAGCCCTGTTCAGCACTTCTCTGTTCAGCCTTTCCCATCCCTTGCCTCGCATTGAAGGCATAGGCTCGGTTGAAGCCATGGCGCCTTTGATGCGGTCTGTCTTTTGGAAAAGAAACACACCAGCTGCAACGCAACAAGCGGCAACAAGGAACACCCGGCTACCCTAAAATCTAGGATTCCCAAGCACGTCATCAATTGAGTGAATGATGAATCATGAATGCTGTTGAAAATTCATGAACATTCCATACCCAGGTCATGGTCTACTTTCTGTGTTATGTATGTCTTGTTAAAACATACTGGTGGGATTCTGGTGTCGGTCCCACGAGCGAGGGAGATGTTTCTTTCAGTCTTCAGTGGGGAGGGGGAAAACGAGCCAATCCTGAAGAAACAAACAAACACACACACACACACCAAAAAAAGCAAGCAAACACACACAATCACACACTTACCAAGGTGCTGATGCTTTTTGGACGACCCTTCTGAAGGACACATGTTCATGACTGTTCATCAACATGTTCAGCCTCTTAAGCACGCGTCAAATGATGCCTGACGGATTCAAAGAACACATTCCATCCAGGCGGATTCCAACATTTTGCCTACAGAGATCTGAAAAAATGACCACTCCAGCTCTGACGAGGTCAGATCTCGATATCGTTGGATCTCGAAAAATCCATCGCGGTTCGGGTCATGGCACCCCTGGTCGTTGGCCAAAACAACGAACACCCAGGTAGGTTGACCACCTCCATCCGTCCATTTAGTCGTCCATTGTTGATGTTTTCCGTAACAACCACCAGGGTCTGCTGGTGCCGTGACCGCCACTTCTGACCCGAATAGGCCCTAGGCCACACCACTCTCTTCAGCCCCCCCCACACGATGTTGGGCACACAGTCCCAGGATGTGCCGTGCCACAAGAGCCGCTCCTGCCGCCCGTTGGCCGGAAAAAGGCATGAGATGGAATTCAAACTCCTTTGTCAGAACAGCTTCAATTTGCATGTGTCCTTATTATGTGGAACGTTTTTGTCATCAAGTTGTTCCACTTTCAGCTTTTGGGGGAGAGAGTGGACACCAAAACTCCCCCTCACCCAAACAAACAGACCAGTTCCTCTATCCCAGAGGGTTCAACTGAGACTCCCCGCAGGCCCTAGGGAGCTCTTCGCTGCAGCATAAGCGGCACGCAGGGCGGCACCAGCAGAGCTGCCTTGGACACCTTCCAAGCGTGCCAGGAAGCCTCAGTGGAGGACAGTGCATTGCATGGAAGTGTTGCAAGCATCCCCAAACTCTGGCCTTGGTAAAGCACTATTTAAGTGTTCCAAGCCTTTTTGGACACATCTAGCACATCAGGCCCGTCGATAGTAGCACCAGCCCAAAAAATGCTCAGATCCACCTAGTTGGAACATGGGAGAGAGATGGAGAGAGTCATAGAGAATCTAGAGTCCAGACCCTACACACATCATGTGCAAAAGGTACTTCATAAATGACAACTAGAAAGGAATCTATCCGTTTCTTTGTGCGTAATCTACTTGGCGATGTTCAAGTGGAACCTCCCTCCCTTCTGCATTTCTTCCACTTCTCTTGGCCCTTTGGTTCCCCCAATTCCCCCGCTCCAGCAGCAAATCCTTCTTCCGATCGCGCTGCGGACGAGGCACAGATGCGTGCGTGGCGCGAGCTGAGCTCTTGCAAAGCCCTCTGGATGGGGAGCTCCAGATGGTCCTTGTTCGCAGAAAGTCATGGGAACGACATTGATTCCATGTTTGGTTAAGGCGGATGGTGATCTGAAACGGAATGGATGGGCCAGCCGATTGTTTGCCTCTCACAGAGTCTTCAAACCTCAAAGAAACATGTGTACGTGACACCCCTAACACACTGCCCAAACCTTAACCAACCAATAGAAAGGTTGCATTGAACTGCGAGCACTCTTTCCAGTATAGATATATTCTTTCTTGGTGTGCCAGAATAAGCAGTGCAGAATTCTTGTCTTGGCAGTTTGGAAGAATATGAACCGCAGGCCCATGATCCAACATGGCCTCCCCAGGAATACTCCACATGCGCCCGTCGTGGTTTGTGAAACATCAGTGTCCTAAAGATGTCCGCAGAAGCACTTGGACAGCGAGGGGAGGGGATTCACATGGATTCATTCTTGAATCTAGGCAGTCGATTGATTTCTCCACATTTCTATCCAACACATGTGCTTCCAATCACATGCCGATGCCATGGAAGCAACTACGCTGAGCGTACTTGCTGCCCAGTGACACCCATCTCCTCTTGGACCAAGAGTCCTGCCCCACCAGTCGTCGGCGATCGATTCAAATTCGCGATGGAAAAAATGGACAAAGAGACCTGAATACCCAGGACATCTTTGGATAAAAAGGTATCATGTCCTGAAAACAAGTTGAGGATGCTTCAATGGCTGTGGGTTCATGGCAGTTGGGGCCACCAGGCTTGACCAAAGAAACAGGCCATTCCACAACCTGACGACTGACTAGTCCACCTACCGAGTTCGGGGCATGAGACTCAAGGCATCCGTGACTCACAGGCAAATTTCATGTGATATGTGACTCAACTGTATATAAATAGCATTCAAACTGTTGAAGGGACATGATACCACTGATGATACTTATATAATCTCATGTGAGACTCAAGTGTGACTCAAGTGAGACTCAGCCAACTAAGTGGATAAACAAGTTGTGTGACTTAAGGTATAGTTGGCCTCCAAACTGTTGAATGGATACAGTTGATTAACAAATCCTATATCCAACGCAGGTACAATTAGCGCTATGGATAGTGGAATGTCTGTCCCCGGTGGGCCGGTAGTTAATGATTTTGTCAGTTCCCCTTTGGTATTGATTTGTTTCCAATAAAGTACTGTTACTATATATCGATTGCCGTGCTTGTTGATACAGTCCATTGAGCTTCCACGAAGCCATTGGACATGATCACTATAAGTCCCGGAAAAAAAGAAAACAATAAAAAGTAGAAGTAGAAGCACAAGTACATGGATCTTCCAGGATCTTCCAATTCCATACACTTCCGCCCCAAAACCCCAAGCACATATGATCCTTCATTCCGTCACCCCCAACGCCGAACTCCACCACGCTTTCCTCCCATGGCGGTCTCCCTCCCCATCCACGTCATCCTTCAAGGCACCTCCACAAACGCCAACGCGCAATGCGCTCCACTCCACTCGCTCCACTCCATCCACCCGCGCGAAGCACACCGCACCTCACTCCACGCGGCGGTCGTCCCCGGTCGGTCGGTTCCGGGCCTTGCGCCAAGAGCTCCGACAGGACCAAGGCGCCCGAGTCGAGGCGCACCACGTCGCCCAGCCGGAACTCGACCTGGAAGGTGGCGCGAAGAGCGGGAGCGAGAGGGGGAGCGAGCTGGCGAGGTGGCGAGGTGGGTGGGTTTTTCGTGGCGATTTGTGTGAAAGGTGAAGGCGAAGTGAAGGAGTTGAGTGGGTCGGGGTGGAAGAACAAAGAAAACACAAAATATAGTATGGTTCTGTTCTGTTTATGGTTCTTTTTATGTATATATAGAGTATAATACTTAGTATACTGGGATGATGAAGAGCCAAAACAGTTCCTATAGTTCTTCTAATTATTAGACTACCTTGACTCCTAGTCTATACGAGAAGCACCTCTTTCAGCTAAAGGCCAACCAGTTCGGACCGACGGTGGTTTCGAGATCCCTGCCGTGGCCAGGTGGAGGTGGACGCGGTCTCAGCGAGCCTCCCAATCCTCCAAATCTACCGTCCGAGTCCCAGTACCTCCTTTTCATGTCGTTTCACTCCAGTTGTGACCCTGATCCAGTCGTCTGGTCGTTTCAAGGTGACTTCGGAGGGGCCACGTCCCGGTCGGCAGACTTGCACCTCCTTGGCTGGTGAGGGCGAAGCCAGTGACGCCTGCAAGGGTGGCGAGGTGAACGGATGGACTGGACCAATGCCCCAACAATCCATCTGGGACGGGACGAAGATTCACCTACAGTAGTCCATCCTAGCCCCATGGATTTGTAACAAAAACCATCTCAAAACCACCACCTGCAATGTTTTCATATAGTGCATCTTCCAGTTGTATATTGGGCATGTGTTCTTTTCCCATATGATCCTCAAAGGGTATTCCTGGACGCTGCAATACTGGGATACTCGGATACTGGAGTTGACTCCGGTCTGGACGAGTCCGTCTGGACCGGCCCCCCTTTCTGCGTAGAAAACCCCCAATTTGGGGGGCCAGTTTGAACGGTTTCAAACCCAAACTAAGGGAGTCTTCCTGGAGTCGCGAAGTGATTCTTTTCTTCCACATGTGTTTCTTCCTGGTGTTTCGTGTTCTTGTAACATCCCCGCTCTGACCCGTTGAGGGACATCTGCACCTGACCGGTTGGGGGTTGGACAGGACTGCCTATACGCAGAACGTTCCGAACGATCCTTCCAATCCAACCCATGGAACGTGGAGGTTTTGGTGCAGAAAAAAAGGAACCGAACAGCCAAAGCCAAGAAGATGATGTCAGGCCACCGGGGACAGCATCGGTCTTATGTGGGGTGGTATGGTGGTGTGGCTGTCTTTCTTCGCAACGATTCACGGAAGGCTGCCTGCTTGTGAGGCACGAATCCGCTAGTCCTACTGGAGCAGGCACGAATCTTGACGCCTTGCACTGAAGCGTCGTCATGCATGGCACGTCAAAGCAACGTGATTATTGCTCAGTTATTTCTGCGAAGAGTCTTTGGGAGAAGGTTCTGTTGCCATGTTTTGGGAGAAGGTTCTTTGGGAGAAGGCTCTGAGGATATTTTCCCATCTTTCCATGTTCCGCTTGCTGTCCCAGTCATCCCCAATCAGCACCTGTACCTCCCCTTAGTTATTTGCTTGGCATGTACTTTGGACTGGTGAAAAAAACACATGCAACACACTTGATCGGTCGATCCAATGACAAGGCGTAAAAAAAAAGGGGACAGATCTGCTGAGCAAATCCGAACATAAAAAGAAACAAGCTGCTTGACCTGTGCCATGCCATACCACAAGTCTGTTCACTCCACTCAGGTTCTACGCAAAGCTGGAGGATCTATGCTTAGTGGCTCAGAGTCTGCTGAAGCTGCAAGGCTCGGAAAATTGGCCCCACAAAAGCAGCCTGTTGTGGACTTCATGACATGTTGGCGTGTTCTCTTCGGCAAACATCGAAACATCTCTGGAGTCCGAGTCATAGCGTGTTGAACCAGGCTTGCCACGCTCTCTTTGGAAAGGCCCCTTGGAGTCGAGGCTTACTTGCCAAAAGGTGACTAGACTAGACAATGGTAGACAATTACACATCAATCCCAGCATGAATCTGTACTCCACACAAATACCACTAAACAAAACAAACGCCAGCTTATTGATATCTCACTCTGCTGATGTAACATCGGCATTGCAGCAACTGCATGGACCCTTCGTCCGGCCTCCTATGCTTAAACAGCCAAGAGCAGGGTTGGGCCTGTTTCATCGTCAACAACGCAACGAGCTGCGTCTTCCTCTCCGTTGCCCAAAGGCGAAAGGACATGCCAATTTTGGCACGGCAGATCGACGTCTTCCAAAATGGGTCAAAGAATGTCAAAGACCGGACCACTGGCAGATCGATTCCTTCCAAACCATTCGAAGGCGCTCGAGCCCTTTGGTGCGCTGAAGTGAGTGAACGATTCGACCGCGCTGAAGGGGGGGGATTCGCCGCTGGACCGTTGGGACCTCGAGCGCACCGGCAAATGGCTGGCGAATTTGGATTCAAGGGATATTTCTATAGGAGGGTTTTGAGGTAAGTCGAATGGGGAAAGGTTCCCTCCTGGAAACTGACTATAAGCAAGCAATTTAATGGTTCAATACCCTTCAACAGCCAAACATGGTCCCTGTGATTGCTCATGTTATGTCCCAATCGGGTTTTACACTGGATGTTCCCACCAGAAGAACCTGCTAATCACCGGCACCCCTGGGAATATCTTCAAAACAGTGTCTTCATTGTAGAGCTTGGCTCGGGGCGTTCTTGGGGAAGTTCCATGACAAACAAATAGACGGCAAGGAGCACCACAAACCCTTCAAAGGAAGATTGGAACACTCCAGCTGAGTGTTTAGAGTCCTTCTGTGGAGTTATGCAAAGAACCATTGCAGCTCCATTTTGACCACTCTTCTGAGTCCTTGTTGCACCTTTTTCGGAAGTATCTTTTTTTCTCCTTGGTGTTTGTGCCAGGTCTTGAAGGGTCCCAAGACAGATTCTCGGCCATTTCGACACCACCAGGGACGTTCCACATCAACATTGGCTCAACCCCTGCCCCAGCGTGGCCCAGCTGAACGCCATCGTCTCAGCGCTCAGCTTGGGCGGCAAAACGTGGGACGCGCCGCGGCACGTCACGTGGCGGCGCCGCAGAGTCCGTGGTCGGAAAAAGCCCCCGGCGGCGGGCAATGTCAATCCAGATCCCAGGTATCAGAGAGTGAAGACTCTTGCCAACTTGGAAGACTCTTGCAACAAGTTTGGAGATGAGCTGCCTAAGAGAATTATGGTATCTTTATATTGTATTATTGTATAACTTATATATTATTTTTTGATCAGTTCGAGCTCAGTGCTGGAAATTTGGAAAACTTGCTACAAATCCTGGCCTTGTTTGTGTCATCCATTCTTAAAAGAAACATGTGGCTCTTGCAGAGGTGTCATAGGACAGCAGAGGATCCATGAAGGTGGTTTTCATAAAGCACATTATCACCCTTGGCCCTCAGAATTTGTGACACCTGCCAGAACAGCTAGTCCCCAAACTATGCCATCAGCCATGAAGGTGCTGGGACATGTCAGATCCCGACATGGAGAATTGAGGACCAAGACGACATGAAACACTACTCCAAACATCTGTAGGATCCCTCATCCAACACAATGCCATTTCATAAGGGTTCATGATCTTGCCAATCCTCCTTGAGTGGGGCCTTTTGCTTTGACAATTGTATGTATTGTAGCTTGTCCATCACAACTAGCCCTCCGGCTGTCGGCTTTTGTCGGGTTTCCAGAACGTCTCGCATTTGACACATTTAACTCCCTAACTAGGTTGCCCAAAAGAACGGAAGCGAAATGCAAATTCATGCAAATCACCTTTGCCTTCATGCATGAACAACTATTACGGGAGGATATACATAGGATATCATAGGATTGGCATAGCCACTAGCGGGAGCACAAGGTGCAGCGCACTGCGACACTGGGCGCGTCCTCCAGATCTAGCGGTTCTGAAGGCTCTTCGTAGGAGATGTACCTCCGGTGGAGAACAAGCGGACCACGTTCCAACTCACTGGGCCACAGAACCCGTGGATTCTTGCGGTCCGCATCACATGAGACATGATGAGTGGTCATGTAACATGTTGTCGGGCCATTGGTCTGCAAACAGCTTCCGAACAGCAAATATTTCGTAATTGGTGGGGGCCGGGCCTAATAGTTCTTCAACCCACAGCCTGCAGTTTCCCCAAAGAATGTCCTGAAGCAAATGACGCAAACAAATCAGATCACACACACCACACTCACCTCACACTCCCCTTCTCACCACACACCACACGCTTCTACGCTTCTCCGCTGATCTCTCCGCCGCGGTAGATCAACCCACCCGGCCCGCCTGGTCTTGGGGTCCACCGTGAAGGCATATGTGGTCGGTCGTCGGCGGCCATCCAAGCCCCAAGCCGGCCAGGAGATCCGAAGAGCACCTGAGAGACCGTCCCCGATCCCGAGCGCCGAGCGCTCAAGGCTCGGGTCGGTCTTGGACGAGGACGGTCGAAGAGCGAGGTCATAGGTGTGTTCCTTCTCCCACAGAGTGAGGACATGCTGCATAATTATATGTGCTTCATGATTAAACAACCTCAAGAAGAAAAAGACATCAACAACCTGGGACACACCAAGGGGAATGTCCAAAATACATCTGAACTCAGTCTCAGGGTCACGTCTGGCTGTAGAAGTCCAAGTCGGTCCAAAGAAACGATGAATGTCCGCAAACGCTGAAGACGCTCGTGGATTCTGATGAAATGTTGGGATCTTACATGGGCTTTGTCCTTTTGGCGAGGCAGTGGTCTCTTGGCCATGTCACTCGGCTCTGGAAGCCTCCACCACATTTATACAAGTTCTTCACTAGGGGATGGTGCCTATAGTTTATCCTACGAACCTAACCAAGGGGAACATGAAGTGTTTACGATCCGCACTCTGCCTCCAACGTTCACCGGAGCAATAAACACAACAAACATGACGACCACGAGGACACAACCAACAATGTTGCAATCTATGATGATCTAACATGATCTTATGATGCGTTAAAACAATGATATGTACCTAGCACTTCCAACGGGTGCCCAATGGAGACCTGTAAGTAGGGTAGGGTAGTCTATTGTACACCCATTGGATGACCCTGGTACCTAATCATTTGCTTCAACTCCACTCCTCTCCAAAGAGATGCTTCAACCATCACGAGGGATCCGGCGCAAGTCGTGCCGACGCAGGCGCTGAGCCAATGGAAGCCGGCCAAGGGCACCGGATGCTCAAAGGGCAAAAAGACATCCTTCCCGTAGTTGGCCGGGTCCACCTCAAAGGTTTTTCTGAAAAGCAAACATCCCAGAAATGTCCAGAGGAATCCCCGTGAAACACCAGGGTGGGCTCCAGACTCCAAAGAGGACCGATAGGGGCGCAGCAGCTATGGTCTGAATGGGTCGGTGGAGCAAACGGAGTCTGAGCACTAGTCTGAGTCTGTCCTCATGAGAAACCTGGTCGGATCTTAAAGTTCCCTACTGCAACTAGCTGCATCAGAACAGCGTTGATAAGACCAGCGCAAAGCGGCGTACACCCTTTCATTCTGCACCTAACCACCTAGTAGAACCCGTTTTCGCAGATCATCTGTGATGGTTGGGTAGCCAACACCTCTAAGAAAGCGGT